TCCTACGCCAAATTGTTCGTTTCTCCATCACCTATAATTTAGTTTTGAAATCTAACTGTTTTCCCGTAAACCTCCTTCCATTCAAGATAAAGAAATATATATATATATATATATATATATATATATATATATATATATATATATATATATATATATATATATATATACAAAATTACATAGGAAATGGGCACAAATACAATGAGCTAATATAAATGGGACTATCTGTACTATCTATACAAATAATACAAATAACAATGATCCGCTAACAGCCCCCATAGTGCGAACGGGAGCTGAATCACAAACGTTCAAGCTGGAACGAAAATCTAGAAAAATAGATGATGGAAGAGTCTTACTAAATATGTCAGCATATTGAGAAGAAGATAGGCACATGTAAGACTCATGTGACTAGTCGCAACCTTGTCTCGAACAAAATGAAGATAAATCTCAATATGCTTAGTCTGTTAGTGTTGAACTAGATTAGCAAACATATACACTGCACTCACGTTGTCACAATAAACAATGGTAACCCGATATGGTGAGTAGTGAAGTTCAAGAAGTAAATTGTGAATCCAATAAGTTTCTGCAACAGCATTGATAACACCTCGATATTCTGCTTCGACACTAGACCGAGAAATGATATTCTGATGTTTCGATGACCAAGACAACAGATTGTGTCCTAAAAAGACACGGTAACCAGATGTAGATCGACGAGTGATTACAAACTAGCCCAATCAACATCTGAATAAGCAATGATGTCATGAGACGGAGAACTGAAAAGTTGAAGGTTGTGGCTTCTAGTGCCACGTATATAGCGTACAATACGCTTTAGAACCGTGAAGTGTGGTTCTCGAGGGTTATGCATACATAACATATATGGTGGACATCATATGAAATGTTTGGTCTAGCGAACGTATGATGCTACAATGCACATGCAAGGCTGCAGTAAAAAAGTAGAGTCGACAACCGGAGGGGCCTAAGCTATCAGAAGAGACATGGAGAGAGTACCATACAAACATGACTTGAAAATGGAATCCACTCTATTCCATTCAGTGTTATCATAAGAGGCAACTTGTTTTTCTCTTGGTGGCTCTAAGTGATCAGCAACTCCATAGCCTATGCAATAAATCTCAAATAACTCTTGTCGTATGTCATAATTCATCCTGTCCAAATCGAAAACGAACGGGACAACATGTTTGATATCTATCACGGAAGAAGGCCTATCAGAAACAATAGAAAAAGATTGAGACTTTGGAGATCCGATCATGATAATCGACAGAGGAAAGAGAGAAAGAGAATGGGATATGAGATGAAGGTCGACAATATAGGAGGTGGTGACTTAGAAGCAGGGTTTAAGAAGAACACGGTTTGTGCTATGATACCATGAAATTTAAATATTTTCTTGTAAACTCCTTCCATTCAAGATAAAGATAAATCTCTCTCTCTCTCTCTCTCTCTCTCTATATATATATATATATATATATATATATATATATATATATACATACATATATATACACACACACACACACAAAATTACAAAGGAAACGGGCCTGAATACAATAGGCTAATATAAGCTTGACTATCTATAATATCTATACAAATAATACAAATAAGAATGATCCACTAACAAGCTTGTCATTCTCCATTAAAAAGGAGAGCTACAAGTTATTTATGAATGTTATGGTTATCTGTGACAACCCGAAATTTCTATCTCGTACAGTCTTTCAGATTCAATCACAGTCAGACTCGTTTCTGCTATCTTTTAGCATTGTTCAGGGTCTGTTTGAGTGTTCTAAGTCTAGTACATTCAAGTTTTGGGTTTAAGGATGAGTTGACTTAAGTTCATTATGTTGCATTCGGGCAAAACACTCCATTTAGAGGAGTGTACGGCCGTACACATGTGCACGACCGTACATAGGAGTGTACAACCGTACACATAGGTGTACAACCATACACCCAAGGTGGTCGTACACTACCTCCTATATATAGGAACACTTCATTTTTCTTCATTTCTTCTTCTTTGGCCGCAAACAACTCTATTCTTTTTCAACTATCATCAAGCTCTACACCTTAATCTTCAAAGATGTAAGTATTCCTTCCATTGAATTGTTGATACATGGCTTTATCTAGTGAAGATCCATGTTTTCATCCCTGAAATCGTCTCTTTTCGTTAGATCTTCAAATCTTCATCCATTTCACCAAGAACACATACTTGTTCTTGAGCCTTGAAGTCATTAGAAGCCTTCAAAAGTGTGAGTATCTCCTCTATTTGCTTGTTAAGCTTGATAAATACTTGATTCCTAGCCATGATTCATCATCTAATGCAATAACATCAAGGGTGTACGGTCGTACACACTTCATATGGTCGTAAACCCTTGTTTAATGCACGTATAGGCCTCAAACTCACCCCATGTTTCAACATAAGACCATAAGCACTTAATGGATGCTAGTTAGGGCCATAAACACCCATTTTTGCATGTTTCTTCAATGAGTGTACGACTGTACACTCCAGGCCGTACACATCATGGCCGTACACACTTGATGGGCATCAAGTCACCAAAATGAATTTCAAAATATTAAACTTCTTTTAAATGTTTTTGTAAACTTATATTTCTCCCAAAAATCATATTAGTGTATATATATATATATATATATATATATATATATATATATATATATATATATATAAGATTTAAAAGGCTTAGGACTGATAACCCACTTTAGTACCTTTTCCTTGTTTGGATGTGGGATTACAAGTATCAGTTGTTTATCCGAGTGTCATTTAAATTTTATTTATATATATTTGTATATGTATACAAGTATAAAATTTAGTTCATTAAGTTTCAATTACCTTTTGTAACATGTTGAGCAAGGGGTTATATTCATGAATACTTAGTATCAATACAGAAAGTACATATACATTATAATAGGTATAATTTATGATTCACAGAACATTAATTCATAATTCAAGTATACTAAAATACAATGTTTTACAAGAACAAAGGTTTGATTCAAAACTATTGAAGGGTATACATTTTTCAGATATATGTTAAGTATACTAATCTAAGAACATACTATCAATCATTTATTTCAGAGTGATTGGGTTTTCATAACTATGATACATGTAACGTTTATATGCTTTTCATGAGTCAAGTGGTACAGGTTGTTAAATTCATTTAAACAATATAGTAAAGTCCTGACATTATAAACTGAATCTCCAGTCGGGGATCAAAACAATGTGTATATAGATCTATATTGGGATTGACAACCCCTCACTCGGACTGCTAGCTACAATCAGGTATACACGCCTGTGAGTGACAAATTGTTATCAACAGTTTTCAGCGCATTCATAGTGTTGGGTTAGGCCATCTAGTCAGTATGGTTATAATAACTCATATAAAAGATATTAGCAATACGTTAATGTTTAATTAACTAAACCTAAGTATATTTTCAAAGTACTAGTTTACAAAAGGAATACAAATACAGAACATTGGTTTACAAATAGAACAGTTTTATGTAATTAAAAATTACTTTTCATATACAGTAGAAAATATAAGATTTTCTGGAACAGTTTACATATTCAGGAAACAGAAAACATTCTTTCAAACATAAATATATATGCACTCACTCAACTTTATGTTGATACTCTCTTTTCAAAATACTTGTATTCTCAGGGAACCAGTAGATAGGTACTTCCCGTGCTTTTGAGAAGATGGAGTTATTTATGTCTTGTCTTCTTCTTTTGTATAACTAAGTGGTTTCAATATACAATGATGAAACACATGTAAATACTTATACTTTTTAAATACAGTGGTTGTTTGTACTCTGATTACTATAATGTATGTGTTGTGATACTACAAATGAAGTCTTCCACCCTCAGACGTTTCCGTCGTCTGGTTTGGAGGTGTGACATTATCTACAACATAATTTAAAGTTCAATTTTAGTATTTTTGTTTTAGGTATTTAACCGTTCACAAATTAATCACATTGTGTTTGAAAAACTTAATTTTGTAAAAGCTAAGTTCCATGTTGAATTATTTTATAAAGGCTTAGATGCATGTTGAGTAATATGATCATAAAGTCTAATAGTTTCTTGGGTAACATTGTCAAGGTTTAGCTAATTCAAAAACGTTTTACCGAATCAACACAACAAAAAGAATATTTGTGGTACATTTTTTAATTTAATCCGCAAGTACCGATTCAATTAGAACTTAACATAATCAATAAATCACAACCATAGGGTGTAAGAAATCAACTACCTCACATAGTAGGGATCTTTTGGTGTAGGAGAACAATAATCATGATTGATTGTTTATCAATATTCATATGAAGGTGGAATGAATGATGCTAGATGGCCTACGATTGTCTTGACAAATGACGTTGGAGCTTATGGGGATCAAGTGGAGGATGTTACTTCTTGGGAGATGGTTGTCTTGAAAAAACTGGGTCATGGATTAAGGCTATTTTTTAAAAGGTAGACGAATTGTGAGTGCGATCTATGACTTATATGTTTAGCATCATGGTAAGGATGACTACAAATAAAAGTTCACACTTTTTACGGCATTGGAAGTCTCTTCATGATGATCTGGATGAAGGAAACACAAGAGTTCAACTACAATGGTTTTGGTTTACTCGTGAAGGATCACATGGGTCGATATTGTGTGTCCACATACGGTTTGGAGCTTTGGCCAAAACATGGGTACAGAAGGTTAGTAAAGGTTTCTGTTTCAAGATGGATAAAGAGGGTTGAATTTTCACCGGTACATTATTTTCATTCGAAATTAAATAAAATTATGATCACCAAGGTGAATATTGTGGGTTTCTTGTGACTATAATGCTAAATCTAGGGGCTATTATACAAATAATAAGGAAGTCAAAAATGGCTTTCACCTTTAAATATAATGACTTCCATTTTCACAGCTTTCTGTAAAATAATAATAATAATAATAATAATAATAATAATAATAATAATAATAATATACCTTGAAAGCGACATGAATCTAGTTTTTTGAAAGCAAACTAATTTCTGCAACCAGTTTTTCAACATCTAGAAACGACGAACCGTCAAGATCAGTCGTCATTTCCGCCATTTTCCTCCACTCCATTGCCTTGTTTCTCATCCTCCACCCGCCTCCACCCATTAACTCCCTCACAAGCTTCTCTACTTCATCCCTCTTCACGTCCCTCCCCATCTCCATCCCCACCTCCCATTCCTTGCACACTTGTCTGCAATTAGTCCGTTGGTCACCGGTGAACGGACAGCATATCATCGGTACACCAGCAGACAAGCTCTCAATGACCGAACCCCACCCACCATGAGTCAAGAACCCACCAACCGAAGGGTGGTTCAACACCTCCTCCTGTGAACACCAGCTTCCTATAAACCCTCTTTCTTTAACCACTTCCTCCAGTTCTAATGGCAAAACTGCACACTCCCCATCTACCAAATCATCCCTGATTATCCAAAGAAAATTGTGGTTACTGTTAACAAGTCCCCAACCTAATTCATGCAAATCTTTTACAGACATTACTGCTAGACTTCCAAAGTTGACATACACCACAGAATTCGGTTCCTTCAAATGGAGCCATTGGAAACATTCGGGTTCCTCCTTCCATAAGCTATAACCATTGAAAGTCGAGCTCTTGGGTACTTTTTCTGTCATCTTGTTCAAAAGTAACTGCAGTGGCCCAATGGTGTAGACATGTGGAAACATGGATTTAAACTCTTTGATGAGACTTCTCTCTAATTCATCAAAAGTATGGATAATCATGCGTGAAATTTTATCAGCATCATGTGCGATTTGGACAATGAATTTTAAAGCCGAAGATTTTGGCCCTACGCCCCAGATATGTTCCGGTAGATCCCTTAAACGGATCTCTTTCATTCCGGGAACATCTATCATGGTATCAAGATATCCATTTGTCAAACAACTATCATCTGCGAAAACAATACAAGATGGATTAATTACAACTGCCAAAGGAAAAGATGATGATTTTGTATGGACTAGAAATCTAATTACCTCTAAGTGGGACAACTCCTTTCTCCAATAGAACTTTTGCCTGGTAAAACCCCATGAACCCGCAGGCAGCCATGGTCCAGAAAAGGATGATGGGGACTCCGAGCGTCTCAGCAGCATAAGGGGTTTGAGCGAAAGTCATGAAGCCATCGGAGATTATACAAGTGACCGGAGTTTCAAGTCCGGCTACAATTTCAAGAAAGGGAGACAAGAAATTGGTCGTAAGGTACCTGGCGAGTTCAACGATGGTTTGAGTTGGATCATGATCGTCATCGTTAGAAGTGGAAGGGAGACCATCTGGAACCGTTTTGAATTGAAAACCAGGGACACCGTCAATATCATGAAACCCACCGTACTTGAGAAGGCGTTTGTGGTTGGAGTGGGTGTTGACGAAGGTTATGTGAAGGCCTTTTTGGTGCATGATCCTGGCTAGTTTAAGCATACACTTGATATGGCTTTGTGCAGGAAACGGTATAAACACCACATGATGAGGCTTTTGAGCAATTCTTGGTACTCCTTCCATCTTTGTATGTGGAATGCCTGTTGACAAAGTCGAATGATTGTGGAGATCGCTATCACTTTATTGATTTCAAAGTAGATACGACAATCTTATTGAATAAGAGTGTGATTAAGGGTTTTTTTTTTTTTTTTATTGAGCGGCAATACAATATTATTAGAAAAAAGAAAAAGAAGCTAGTAATAGCTGAACAAAAGAAGATAAACCAAGAAAATAAACACAGCAAGCACCAAAAGAAAAGAAGTCTAAAACAAAGAGCAACACCTGCAGGTTGCCAACAGAAGTGAAGCGACTAACAGAAACAGCTGAATAAAAGAACATAAACCAAGAATAGTGATTAAGTTTAGTTTAATTTTGTTTTATTTTTAGTTATTTTAACTTTTTTTTTTTGGAGATTTAACCGTTCAAATTAAAATAATGTTTTATTTTCTGAAACTTTTTACTTCTATAAAATTATATGATAATTATTAAATTTTAACGGGGTGAATGTACCAACTTTATTTACATCTTTTTATTTATTAATTTATTCTCAAAGATGACATGAAATTGAAAAATCAAAATAACATGAAATAACTATGAACTTGGTTAAATGCGAGTAATTTGGTCTGTATAATGTTTTTTTGAAGGAATTAATTATAATCTTTTATTTGTTTGATTGCTATGTAATGAAATTTGTTTTATGTTTGGTTTACATATTTTTCAAGAATATTGGAAGGTAACTTATATAATATGACCAAAATACGATTTTTACCGCTGGTGTGGTTGTGTACATATATTTTTGCTTGTTGGTGTGCGTGAAGGTGTTGGGGCGATTATGGGTGTCGGGTGCGAGGTAGGGCGTATATGATCATTTAGGTGGAGATTACGAGTTTCTTGTGACTATAATATTAAATCTAGGAGGCTATTGTATAAATAATAGGAAAGTGAAAAAGGATTTTGACGTTTAGAATGAGTTACATTTTCATTAATTTTTGTTTTCTTTATATACATTGCACAGCCATCAAAGATGAAGAAGATTTTGTTCATTAATTCCTATTTATTTCTTAATAATATTTTCTTATTATTTATTGTTCGCTTCATTTATTTGTCTCAACTTTAACAAAATATATATATATTTTATCATATTTGTTCATACAAAGACCATCCATAATAATGAGTTTAATGAAAGAATTAAATGATATCATTTAATAGATAAAACTCTAGCATGGTGAACAAGATGTCATATTGTCCTTCAATGAATTTTCAGTTTAATGAACTCTTTAATTGAACAAAAAAATGAATGTTTCTAAATTCTTATAGAAATATTATAAATTACTTTTGTAATGTTTAATTGAATTTTGTAAAGTTCAATAAAGTGTAGAAAAAATTTTAATGAGATGTATGGAACGTAGAATGATAAAGAAACAATCCATTGAACTCTACGAAGTTCAATGCACTATCGATACCCTTAGAAAACGTCCACTCTACCCCTGAAATGAATCTAGTTTTTTGAAAGCACACTAATATCGGCAACCAATTTTTCAACATCTAGAGACGACGAACCGTCAAGATCAGTCGCCATTTCCGCCATTTTCCTCCACTCCATTGCCTTGTTTCTCATCCTCCCCCCGCCTCCGCCCATTAACTCCCTCACAAGCTTCTCTACTTCATCCCTCTTCACGTCCCTCCCCATCTCCATCCCCACCTCCCATTCCTTGCACACTTGTCTGCAATTAGTCCGTTGGTCACCGGTGAACGGACAGCATATCATCGGTACACCAGCAGACAAGCTCTCAATAACTGAACCCCACCCACCATGAGTCAAGAACGCACCAACCGAAGGGTGGTTCAACACCTCCTCCTGTGAACACCAGCTTCCTATAAACCCTCTTTCTTTAACCACTTCCTCCAGTTCTAATGGCAAAACTCCACACCCACCATCAACCAAATCATCCCTGATTATCCAAAGAAAATTGTGATTACTGTTAACAAGTCCCCAACCTAATTCAAGCAAATCTTTTACAGACATTACTGCTAGACTTCCAAAATTGACATACACCACAGAATTCGGTTCCTTCAAATGGAGCCACCGGAAACATGCGGGTTCTTCCTTCCATAAGCTATAACCATTGAAAGTCGAGTTCTTGGTATCTTTTTCTGTCATCTGGTTCAAAAGTAACTCCAATGGCCCAATGGTGTAGATGTGAGGAAACATGGATTTAATCTCTTGGATGAGAGTGCTTTCTAATTCATCAAAAGTATGGATAATCATGTGTGAAATTTTATCAGCTTCGTGTGCGATTTGGACCATGAATTTTAAAGCCGAAGATTTTGGCCCTACGCCCCAGATATGTTCAGGTAGATCCCTTAAACGGATCTCTTTCATTCCCGGAACGTCTATCAAGGTATCAACATATCCATTTGTCAAACAACTATCATCTGCAAAAACGATACAAGATGGATTAATTAGAAGTGGCAAAGGAAAAGATTGATGATGACTTTATATGGACTAGAAATCTAACCTTTAAGTGGGACAACTCCTTTCTCCGTTAGAACTTTTGACTGGTAAAACCCCATGAACCCACTGGCAGCCATGGTCCAGAAAAGGATGATGGGGACTCCGAGCTTCTCAGCAGCAGAAGGAGTTCGAGTAAAAGTCATGAAGCCATCGGAGATTATACAAGTGACCGGAGTTTCAAGTCCGGCTACAATTTCAAGAAAAGCATCCAAGAAATGGATCGTAAGGTACGCGGAGAGTTCAACGAGGGTTTGAGTTGGATCATGATCGTCGTCAGAAGTGGAAGAGAGACCATCTGGAACCGTTTTGAACTGAAAACCAGGAACACCGTCAAGATCATGAAACCCACCGTACTTGAGAAGGCGTTTGTGATTGGACTGGGTGTTGACGAAGGTTATGTGGAGGCCCCTGTGGTGCAGAATCCTGGCTAGTTTGAGCATACACTTGATGTGGCTTTGTGCAGGTAACGGTATGAACACCACATGAGGTTTCTGAGTAATTCTGGGCACGGCTTCCATCTTTGTGTTGCATATAGAGGCAAGTGGAATTTAGTGTGCCACAGAATGTGGAATGTCTATTGACATCGAATGATTGTGGAGATCATTATCACTTTATTGATTTCAAATCAGATATGACAATCATTCAAATTAAAATATTGTTTTATTTTGTGAAATTTTTTATTTTTCTAAATTTGTATGATGATTATTAAATTTTATGAATGTACGTACAAACTTCGTTTACATCTTTTTAAATTTTTTTTTCTTAAAGATAACATGAACTCAAAAGAACAAAATAACATGCAATGATCATGAACTTGGTTATTAATCAGGTAAAATTCCAGAAAAAAACACAAGAATTTGTATTCATATATGCTACGGAATCTACAACATGAACTCTCTAGCTACAATCCGAGGGAATAGTCCTCGGTGGCATCAATCAACAATTTTGCCGGAACATTGTTGTTATCTATGTTTATTTAGCAATTGTTGGAACTTAGCTGTCTATATCTGAACCGTATACATAACACTAATCGAATATCCACAATCCTTACTTAGGTAATTAAGTACATGTTTTCACCTTTAAATATTCAATTCAATAACTCAAACGCCAAAAGCACAAAAAAAGAACCATGTCCAAACAAGATTATCGATGCCACCAATGCCTACATTGAGTTTCTCCTAATGACACGTATATTAATATAACACCTTTCATAGCACCCAAAAACACACGGCAACTCCCCGCAGCTAGAGATGGACCCAAAATCCAGAATTGATGAGAAGAAGCCTCATGTGTTGTTTGTACCATTTCCAGCACAAAGCCACATCAAGTGTATGCTCAAACTAGCAAGACTTCTGCACCACAAGGGTCTTCACATAACCTTTGTCAACACCGAGTCGAGCCAGAAGCGCCTTCTCAAGTACGGTGGGTTGCATGGTCTAGACACGGCTCCAGGTTTTCAATTCAAAACCGTTCCAGATGGTCTCCCTTCTGATGACGACACTGAACTAAATCAAACCGCAGAGGCAGAGCGACTCTTCCTGTACCTTTTGACCAATTTCTTGGGTTCCTTTCTTGATCTTGTAGCTGGACTTGAAAGTCCACCGACTTGTATTATCTCAGATGGTTTCATGACTTTCACAGACACTGTTGAAGCTGCTGCTGAAAAGCTCAAGACCCCGATCATCCTTTACTGGACCCTTGCAGCTTGTGGATTCATGGCCTATTACCAGGCTAAAGTTTTGACTGACAAAGGACTTCTCCCGCTTAAAGGTTAACTATCCTATTTGGTATACGGCGTAATTTGAAAAGGAATTGCATGTTGATTCCATTCCATCCAACTAAATATGTCCATGATGTTCATGAAAATCCTATTTGACGATCAATTTTATATGTCTTTTTTATGCAGATGAAAGTTATTTGAATAACGGGTACACTGATAACCTTATAGATTGGATACCGGGAATGGAAGGAGTCCGTTTGAGGGATCTACCCAAACATATGTTAGCCACAAGCGTCGATGATCCCGCATATAATTATCTGTTGGAATCAGCTCGGACAGCCGATAAAGTTTCACACATTATCCTCCATACTTTCGACGAATTAGAAGCTACTCTTGTCAAAGAACTTAGATCAATATTTCCTCGAATCTACACAGTTGGACCTCTACAGTTACTTTTGAACCAGACCAACCAGACTAAAAGCTCAAGTTTTAATGGCTGTAGTTTGTGGAATGAAGAACCCAAATGCATCGAGTGGCTCGAGTCGAAGGAACCAAACTCGGTGGTGTATGTCAACTTTGGAAGTTTAGCAGTAATGTCTCTACAAGAGTTACTGGAATTGGGTTGGGGACTTGTTAATAGCAACCATTATTTTCTTTGGATAATCAGGACTGATATGGTTGACGGGGGATCAGCAATTCTACCATTGGAATTTGAGGAGGCTGTTAAAACGAGAGGTTTTATTGCAAATTGGTGCTCACAAGAAGAGGTCCTCAACCACGCTTCAGTTGGTGGGTTTTTGACTCACGGTGGTTGGGGTTCAGTGATCGAGAGCCTATCTGCGGGTGTGCCGATGTTATGTTGGCCAGTTTCTCATGACCAAACGGTTAACTGTCGGCAAATGTGCCAGAATTGGGAGGTCGCAATGGAGATCGAGAGGAATTCGAAAAGGGATGAAGTTGAGAAGCTTGTAAAGGCATTAATGGAGGGAATTGAGGGTAAAAGAATGAGGAAGAAGGCCATGGAGTGGAAGAAAATGGCGGAAATCGCGACAGATTGTAATGGATGTTCGTCTTTGAATATCGAAGAACTTGCCAATGAAATCACAAACATGTCAAGAAACTAGATACCCAATATTTGTTTATGATTCCACATGTGTAAGTGTTTATGGAATAAAAAAGAAAAGAAACTGGAGTTAATTTGCATTGGTTACACACCACAATAACTAAATAGAAAAGGATATAACTAAATAGAAAATGATGGGAGAGAATTGGACTCGATAAGCTTTATAGGCTACCATCGATGATGAGTGTGATGACATTCATGCCTTTCAGATAGATGAGAGATGGAGATCAAGTGAGTCTCTTTCCCACCTTGTTTCATTTTTTAGATGGGACAAAAAGTTTACAATTTTTTGTTTTAATTGACGCCTGCTTTGGTTCTAGTCCTATATATGTATGCAAACTAATGTCCAATCATGTCGCCTTAATGATGCTCTACATAAAGGAACAAAAAGGAAGGGCCGACTAACAAACCAAAACACAAATACGTTGGTATCTAACTGATTTTTGGTTCAAAATAGAAAGGGTCAAAAATAAGATAACCTTATCCATTAGCATACAAATGTCATTTGAGTTTTGAAATGTCACGTTGAAGATCCTACACAGTGATGCACAAGTATAGTCCAATACAAGGTACCAACGTGATGGAAGAAGATGAGGGCCATAATGAAAGCATCCAATAACCCAAGTATCCCAAAAAAAATACTGTTAAAATTAGGAATATTCAGTAAACCAAGTATTGATATTGTAACAAATCTTTTTAGTTTACTTTCTAAAAAAGTCTTATAGAAAGTAGACTCCAACATATATAAATATTTATATATAGGACGTGTTTACCGATTACCTTTGTGAGATACGTGACAAACAAACACAACTAATTTATAATACCAGTGCAATGCCACTGCTTTAATAGCTTACAAGTTATTAAGTTACCTACTCTCACAAAAGTAAAACAAAATTAAAGTTTAGTCGGTAAATTATTTTTTTTTAAGAAAAAAGTCAAGGATACATAACAAATTATTAAATTTCGTTACTATTTGCTAACATCCTCTCTTTAAAAAATAAAAAATATATTTTACTCAAACAGTCTCATATAAAGGTATCACAACAATTTGTACTAATATATGTTATCATTAAGTTTCCACAATCATAAAGGGAGCACATATTGTTGCATTGTCATCGATGGTATCAACAATTTTGCCAGAACATTATTGTTTATATATGATTTTCAACCGTTGTTGAAACTTCTGAATTGTATAATACCAATCGAGTCCCTACAATTGTTATGTTATGAGTTTATAATACTTAGATGTCGGCACAAGTTTTCATCTTAAACGCCAAAAGTACAAATTAAAAAGACAAATGCATTCAAACAAGATTATCGATGGCACCAATGACTTCATTAAGATTCTTCTAATGCCACGTATATAACACCTTTCATGGCAACAGTAACAGCCACAGAGATGGAGCCAGAACCCAGAAACGATCAGAAAAAGCCTCATGTGGTGTTTATACCATTTCCAACACAAAGCCACATCAAGTGTATGCTTAAACTAGCAAGGCTACTGCATCACAAGGGCCTTCACATAACCTTCGTCAACACCGTGTCAAACCAAAAGCGCCTTGTAAAGTACGGTGGGTTTCATGGTCTAACCGTGGCTCCTGGTTTTGAATTTAAAATGGTTCCAGATGGTCTCCCTTGTGATGACGACACTGAACCAAATCAAACCGCAGAGCAACTGTTTCTGTACCTTTCGCCCAATTTCTTGGGTTCCTTTCTTGATCTTGTAGCTGGACTTGAAACTCCACCGACTTGTATTATCTCAGATGGCTTCATGACATTCACAAACACTGTTTATGCTGCTGAGAAACTCAAAATCCCGATCATCCTTTACTGGACCCTTGCAGCTTGTGGGTTCATGGCGACTTACCAGACAAAAGTTCTAACGGATAAAGGAGTCCTCCCACTTAAAGGTTAGGTTTCCTACTTCTTAGCCTCTCATTCCATCCAACCAAACAAACCCCATGAAAATTGTATTTGACAACCAATAGTTAACTTGTTGTTCATGCAGATGAAAGTGATTTGAAAAACGGGTACACTGATACCGAAATAGATTGGATTCCAGGAATGGAAGGAACCCGTTTGAGGGATCTACAAGAACATGTGTTAGTCACAAACCCAGATGACCCCGCATACAATTATGTGCTGGAAGCAGCCAGGACAGCCGATAAAGTTTCACACATGATCATTCATACTTTTGATGAATTAGAAGCTAATCTAGTTAAAGAGCTTAAATCCATCTTTCCTAAGATCTACACAGTCGGGCCTCTACAATTCCTTCTGAATCAAATCACACAAAATGAAACCCCAAATTCGAGTTCTAATGGCTATAGTTTATGGAAGGAACAACCCGGGTGCATCGAGTGGCTCGAGTCAAAGGAACCGAACTCAGTCGTGTATGTCAACTTTGGGAGTCTAGCAGTAATGTCTCTACATGATTTACTTGAATTAGGTTGGGGACTTGTTAACAGCAACCATTATTTTCTTTGGATAATCCGGAGTGATTTGATAGATGGCGGTTCGGCGGTTTTGCCGCCGGAATTCATGGCGGCAGTTAAAACAAGAGGCTTTATAGCAAGCTGGTGTTCACAAGAAGAGGTGCTGAACCACCCTTCAGTTGGCGGGTTCTTGACCCACGGTGGGTGGGGTTCGGTGATCGAGAGCTTGTCGGCTGGTGTACCGATGTTATGTTGGCCGGTTTCTCATGACCAAGGAATCAATTGTAGACAAATGTGTCGGAATTGGGAGGTCGGAATGGAGATTGACCGGAATGTGAAGAGGGGTGAAGTTGAAAAGCTTGTAAGGTCATTAATGGAGGGACTTGAGGGGAAAAGGATGAAGAAGAAAGCTATGGAATGGAAGAAAATGGCGGAATTAGCTACAGATGTTGATGGATCATCTTTTTTGAATATTGAAAAACTTGCTAATGAAATCACCAACTTGTCGAGAAACTAGAGTCTAGATACCCATTTGTTTCCAACAAAACTTTTTAGAGCTATTTTAAATAATGAAAAGAGATTGAGAGCCAGGTTTTGTCCCACCTTTTGAGTGGGAAAAAAGCTTGTACTTTCGTCTCATTGACATCAATCTTTATCTGATTCACAGTGTTTTGTCAGTCCTCTCTTACTTCACAAATGGGAAGCAGCTAACCAACAACCAAAACATGAAAATATTTATATTTAATTTGATAATTTGGTTCAAAATAAAGTCTCAAAACTAAGACAACCATGTCCATTATCATACAGTTTGAAATTTCATGTTGAAGATCCTCCATAACGACGCACCAGTATAGCCCGATACAAGGTGCCAACGTGAAGGAAGAAGATGAGGGCGATAATGACATCATCCAATAGACCAACTATTCCAAATAATGCTGTCAAAATTAAGAAAACATTTTATCAATATTTTTAAGTCTGTAGGCATTTAGCAATCTATGTAAGTTGATCTGAGTTGAAAACCATACCTTCGGGGATAATGTCCACTGGGCTGAGTACATAAATGACAGTTGATAAAAGCTGTATATGAAAAAAAAATTGTAAATTGTCATGGTAGTAACCAGTAACTAGTGAGCTATCATATTCATATATATGAAATAAAATGAAAATTTATTATTATTATTATCAACTCACTGCCATAAATACGCGTGCTTTGATGACAAACGGGAGAGATCTTTGAGGATCCATCACTTCTCGGAACAATCTTTTGATCAGAAACGGGAGGTCTTGCAGTCTCTGCAAAAAAATGAAATAGAAAAATGACTTTGAATACGGATCTTGAAGAAATATGATTAGTTTCTTTCTTATCTTTTTGATGGAAATTATAATGATTAGTTACCTGGCTTAGTCCTGTTGAATGTGAACCAAAGATTCGGTTATAAGATTCAATCTTTCTTATAATCTCAGAAGCTTCGGGATTATCAGATTGCTGAGAGGATTCCTGGCTAGGAACCAACAAAGTAATGTGGCGACGACAAAGAGGGCATTTACATGGTTGTAATGCAGATCCATGATTCCAAACTTCTAAAATGCAACTTCCTAACAGATAGAGGGGGAAATGCATATTGGTTATTAATGTGACCAAAATTCATATGCACACCCTTAAACAGATGACAAGAAGTCCTCAAACATACAGCTATAATCTTCATACCAAAACCCTAATTCCCGAATGGGAATAGCGTGTTTTGGCCTATGCGCATACAGAAACTTCAAATGACGAAATAAACAACGGAAAACCCTCTAGATTCTCCATAACTGTTTCCAAATGAACTGAATGCGATCTTCATTACGTTAATTTAGGAAACGAACGGGAATAATTGATTAGGATATGACGACTTACCGCAATACCAATGAGAGCAATTGGCTTGATGCGGGATATGGAAGTTGCCATGGCAAATTGCACAACAGTCGTTGGCTGGTGGTCCGTCCATATTGGCACTAGAAAACTCGATTCTCACTCGCTGCACGTATTGAAATTTTGGGGTTTCTCTGTTGTTCTTGTTTTGTTTCTCTGTTGCTTAATACTTAAGAATATGCAACTGAATCCTCTTATGAAAGATATTGTAACCGACACGCTTAAGAATTTGTAGTGAAAAAAAAGGGTGTTACGAATTAGTTTCTATTATATGTTTATAATTTTTTAGACAAAGTTACCTACGTAATCCATGTGTTTATCAAAACTTAAACTTAGGTGGTAATTAACTTTTATTTTGTTTATCCTCGATTTTTTTTACATCATATGAGTTTGTTGAAGTCATTTATAAATTACTTTTGCGACTAGATAATATAGGAAACTACTTTAACAAATTGGATAATATATGATACTAAAAAAAAAAAGGTTCAATGTGCAAAAGATCAAGAGATTTTTTTCAGTATTCATTTAACGATTTATAAGGGTATTTTTCTTTTTAAGTTGTGTAGAAAAAAGTTGATATCCCTAGGTTTGTGGTTTCTAGGGTTGTGTATTGATCGATTTGGTTCAGTTTTGGACCCAAACCCAACTCAACCCATAAATGGTCGGTTTATGGTTTTCAACTCAATATGATCCTTTTTTTATCGGTTCAGTTCTCAGGTTCTGATGTCTGTTTGGACGGTTTTTCAGTTTCTTGGGTTCAACCTATACACTCATGGGTTCTAGATTTAAACCCATGGGTTTTGGGTTTAAACCCATTTTTCAGAAATAAAGTAAGAAGTTAAATACTTCATAAAACACCAAATTGAAGTTAAATACTTTAAAAAACATGAGTCTTACAACCAAATAGACTATTACAAGTTAAAACAAAAGCCTGAAACAGTTTATTACAACCAAAAACAATCATCGGTTTCTCGGGTTGGATGGGTCGTTTTTTTGGGACAGTTTGTTGGTTTTAAGTATGGGTCGGTTTTTCAAGTTGGATAGGTCAATTTCTAGGTAAAAACCGAAACTGGCCTTGATATTTCAGTTTTTCAAAAATTCAAACCCTAACCATCAATTGTCCTTCAGTTTCGGTTTCATCGGTTTAGTTGTTTTCTCGATTTCTTGGTTTGGGTTTACTCACCCCTAGGGGTTTCTCATTTGTATTTAAGTAATATTATTTTGTTTAAACATTAATTTGTTGTTTTTTGGCTTATTCATTGTAACATAAAAAGAAACAAGTGCGAAACGCCAATGGATTTTTATGGATTGGATGGATATCGAATCCATATTTTCTTGTTATATATATATATATATATATATATATATATATATATATATATATATATATATATATATATATACATATATATATATATATATATATATATATATTGTAACACCCATAATCAGAAAGACCAAGAAAGGAAAGAAAACCCTAAGTTAAAGGGCCAACTCGTCGAGTCCAAGGAGGAACTCGGTGAGTCTGAGCGGGATCCGGGTCAAGGAGTAAGTGATCGACTCAGCGAGTCGGAGAATGGACTCGGCGAATCCGGTCTGAAGAGGGAAACCCTAAATCCGGGACTTTGGGCACTATTTAAGCATCTTATTCTCTCCATATCGGTTACATATAGCCTCTCTCATCCAAAAACCGAATCCCTAAGCCCCCGTTATTGCTCATTCAAGGAAGGAACCATTGGGGATTCAAGGGTTTGCTGTAGATCCAGAGTTTGAAGGACTTTCCAGAGCAATTCAAGGTAAGGAGTGATTACCTTCCCTCTTTTGCATGTAAATCAATATTGATTGTGAGATTTGGGACTCTTATGCCATGCTCTTGAACCATTTCGAGTTAGAGCCCAGATCTGAAGTTGCTACTTCAGATCTAAGAGAATTCTGGCCTAAAGAGTCATAAAGTATCAGCCTTTGTGACATCCCCAATTTCACGGCCAGAAAAGACCGATTTGTTTATGCTTTGTTTTATAAATCAAAGTAATCGTTTAAAGAAAACGGTTGCGGAATTTGTTCCCAAAACAAGATATGATAAAAACTTATCAAAACATTTCTCAAAGAGAATGTATTTTCATTAAATAATAAAACCTCGGGATGTCATGTTCCGATACAGACACATAAGCATAAACAGAACATACATTCATTTACTCTAGTGATTTACATCTCCTTTAATCTCTCAGTGCAAAGCAGCTTCGTATCGATACCTGTGATACAATTAAACTGAGTGGGTCAGGCTTGGGAGCCTGGTGAGCATATAGGGTTTTCATCCCACAATGTTATATCATATAAATATATATAGAACATCCAAAATTATATAATTTCACCATATAAAAAGCAACTCTTATCCCACCCCATCGATCCTCACAAAGACACGATCTAAACTCTCGTATCTAAAATTTTCCTCTTTATCTGATCCCTACTCACGGATCTAAACTAATCTCTCCACCTGATCCATACTCTCGGACCTAAAACTAACCTCTTGGTCTAATCCATACTCCCGGATCTAAACTAATCTCTTGGTCTGATCCATACTCCCGTATCTAAACTAATCTCTTGGTTTGATCCATACTCCCGGATCTAAAACTGTGCCCAATCCATACTCCCGGACTAGGGACAATTTACTATGTCTTAATCCATACTCCCGGATTAATGACAAGTTTACCTATTGGTCTGATCCATACTCTCGGATCTAAAACGGTGCCCAATCCATACTCCCGGACTAGGGACAATTTACTATACCTAAATCATGTTCTGATCCATACTCCCGGATCTAAACTGTGCCCAATCCATACTCCCGGACTAGGGATAATTTACTATGTCTTAATCCATACTCCCGGATTAATAACAAGTTTATCTCTTTTCTTATTCCATACTCTCGGATCTAAATCCAATCTCTTTATCTAATCCATACTCACGGATCTAAAACTAACCTCTTGATCTGATCCATACTCACAGATCTCATCTACCCATGTCCTACCCAACATATTCGTAGATACAAAATATACATACGGTTTAACTCATTAAAACCTATATAGTTCATCCATTTCATACTCATCTCAAATAATCAAACAATATATAAACACATAGCAGGTATTTCATAACAAATACTTAATATTTATGTGTTAGAAGAAAGTGACCACACACTCACCCAAAACATATACTTAGTACATTCAAACAATACTTGTATTATAATCGTGTTTATGAAAGGGACTATACACTCACTTGATCGGAAGATGATCGGACAGAACTACGACTTGTAGAAGCAGTATTCTTCGGTGAAACTGGGATCACTTGACACACCTAGTTTCTCGCGGGCAGAGCTTCGGCTCGGAAACTCTTTTCTTCTCGGGATCTTCGGGCTTCGGGACTTGCTTCGGGTCTCGGGGTTGATACCAGGGCTTCGGGGGGTTAAAATAGGGCTTAGAGGTTGTATCGGGAGTGGGAGAGAAGGGATGGAGCAACCATAGTCGGCTGGCCCTTCAAATCTATTTATAGGGCCTATTTGGCCCTTGCCACGTCGTGGGATCCTTTTGCCACGTCGTGGGCTTGATCGTCACTGCATGCGTCATCCCAAGTTGCATCTGGGGGCCTCCCGGAGGTGTCAGGACTCTTGCCACGTCGTGGCACTGCTTGCCACGTCGTGGTCCCTGACAGTTTTGGGGTTTCGCGCCCCGAACTTCATAAATTCATAACTTTCGCATACGAACTCCGTTTTCGACGTTCTTTATATCGCCGCGAAGGTGAGATTATGCTCTACAACTCTCGTTTAGACTCCATTGGCTATTTTTGACTTTATTTTTAATATATTATAAGTATATTACTTATATATTATTTTTAGTAGGCCGGGACAGGAAAACTCTGTTCGAAATTCTTAACTCCTTCATCTGAACTCCGATTCCGTCCGTCTTTCCGTCGTTGCACTACTATCGATGAGATCTTCAATTATCATTTAGATCACTAAGGATAGATATCTATCTACCTTAAGTTCACTATTTATGTCGCGATGGGTCGCGCTGGGTCGTGCCGGTTCTGTCGCGAAACTTCGACAGGTCATAACTTCTTCGTTATAACTCGGATTTTGGCGTTCTTTATATGCACAGAAACCTTGTGACATATACTAAAACTTGGTTAAGATTAATCCTTATAAATAATCTTCCATCAAAAAGTCATTTTTTGATGCTTATCGTCTCTAAATTGACTAGCCCGGATCTACGGGCGTTACAATTATCTCCCATCTTAGGATGATTACGTCCCGGAATCATCAACGAAATAGGGATTGCATAATGATTCCACACGTTATCTCTTCATCCTAGGTAATAACCATAACTTCTATGTTTCCTCGATAGAGTATTTAAATCTATGGCTTTCTTGACCGCAGACGATGCCAATCTTGCATCTGCTTATCGTACTATGATGTACTTTCAATCATAACTTCCAAGTTACAAACTAAGTCCTTATTGTGGACTCCTTCTTCGTCTCAGGATAAATACTTTCATTTATATATTGTAACAAACCGATGGGTCGTGTTCTAATGACCTCTCATCGTATGATGCAACTCTTAGACTCAAGTCTCTTAGAGTCAAATTCCACAATGGAATATACCTTCTTTCATATTCTAACGTGATATAATCACATTTTTACATGTAGCATCTCTAGCTACAAGCTTCCTTAACAACGAGCGCGATGCTATCGATCGCATTGATTTCAATCTTTTGACTTAGGTCAGATGTTACATCGAACTTGGTTCCATGAACCACGTAACAAACTCCTCGTAGTCGGACTCAACTTGATATGACCACTAGGGTCGGAATAACAACCATATTACTAGTCACTACCGAAACAAGGGTAATGACACACTTGAACAAAACAGAATCAGTTACTAGCTTCTTGGTAACCTTGTGACTTTCCCTGATCCAAGTGCGAGTCCTATGCTTCCGGTAGTATATGCATCTACTATCTTTCACACCTACTCATACTCGTCCCAAGTATTGTCCCGCAGTTGACCAAGTCACCATACAAGAAAATCACAAAACAATTTAACACATACGAATGTGTCCAAATAATCATAAACAATTTCCGTAGACGCTACTAGGACTTCTTCATTGCTCAATCTTCAATCATCAACTCTACTTCAACTCGATTGGTGATGCAAATACCAGACGATGAGACAACTTCAAGAATTTCATCAATCGTTCCATCATCCTGCCAATCGAAGGTGTACTTCAGACGTATCGTACTCCTCTAAACGTATTGTTATTTCATAAGACATACTCTAAAGGCAAGATACCACTCTTACGATATCTTCTGATAGGCGTCATCCACTATCATAAGCCTTCTTCATTTCCTCAATTTACTCAATTTATCTATGAGTCTTCACCATGACCTCTTGTACATCTAAGCATACATTTGGTGTACCAAGCGAGATTTTTTTTTTTAAGATAAGAAAGTTTTTAATTACGATAAACGTATAAATCTCCTTATCACCCTGAAACGTTACATGCTAGTTCTAATTTCATATTCATACGCTTAGAATCCTAAACACATAAGGTTTCCAGATCCGGTCGGCAACAGACCATAGATCCGAACAAATAATAACATCAATTTAGCTATCACACAAAACAATTAGCACATAAAAGCATTTTAGGAATCATTCCTAAAATAAACTAGTGCTTATGTCAATTTAGGTGTACTACCTAACATATTTTAGACACACTCCTCACAATCATTCCTTAGCATTCTAAGTTTAAGTCTAGAAATTTCCTACAAATTCCTAGTTCGCTTAAACTAATGCTCTGATACCAACTGTGACATCCCCAATTTCACGGCCAGAAAAGACCGATTTGTTTATGCTTTGTTTTATAAATCAAAGTAATCGTTTAAAGAAAAACGGTTGCGGAATTTGTTCCCAAAACAAGATATGATAAAAACTTATCAAAACATTTCTTAAAGAGAATGTATTTTCATTAAATAATAAAACCTCGGGATGTCATGTTCCGATACAGACACATAAGCATAAACAGAACATACATTCATTTACTCTAGTGATTTACATCTCCTTTAATCTCTCAGTGCAAAGCAGCTTCGTATCGATACCTGTGATACAATTAAACTGAGTGGGTCAGGCTTGGGAGCCTGGTGAGCATATAGGGTTTTCATCCCACAATGTTATATCATATAAATATATATAGAACATCCAAAATTATATAATTTCACCATATAAAAAGCAACTCTTATCCCACCCCATCGATCCTCACAAAGACACGATCTAAACTCTCGTATCTAAAATTTTCCTCTTTATCTGATCCCTACTCACGGATCTAAACTAATCTCTCCACCTGATCCATACTCTCGGACCTAAAACTAACCTCTTGGTCTAATCCATACTCCCGGATCTAAACTAATCTCTTGGTCTGATCCATACTCCCGTATCTAAACTAATCTCTTGGTTTGATCCATACTCCCGGATCTAAAACTGTGCCCAATCCATACTCCCGGACTAGGGACAATTTACTATGTCTTAATCCATACTCCCGGATTAATGACAAGTTTACCTATTGGTCTGATCCATACTCTCGGATCTAAAACGGTGCCCAATCCATACTCCCGGACTAGGGACAATTTACTATACCTAAATCATGTTCTGATCCATACTCCCGGATCTAAACTGTGCCCAATCCATACTCCCGGACTAGGGATAATTTACTATGTCTTAATCCATACTCCCGGATTAATAACAAGTTTATCTCTTTTCTTATTCCATACTCTCGGATCTAAATCCAATCTCTTTATCTAATCCATACTCACGGATCTAAAACTAACCTCTTGATCTGATCCATACTCACAGATCTCATCTACCCATGTCCTACCCAACATATTCGTAGATACAAAATATACATACGGTTTAACTCATTAAAACCTATATAGTTCATCCATTTCATACTCATCTCAAATAATCAAACAATATATAAACACATAGCAGGTATTTCATAACAAATACTTAATATTTATGTGTTAGAAGAAAGTGACCACACACTCACCCAAAACATATACTTAGTACATTCAAACAATACTTGTATTATAATCGTGTTTATGAAAGGGACTATACACTCACTTGATCGGAAGATGATCGGACAGAACTACGACTTGTAGAAGCAGTATTCTTCGGTGAAACTGGGATCACTTGACACACCTAGTTTCTCGCGGACAGAGCTTCGGCTCGGAAACTCTTTTTTTCTCGGGATCTTCGGGCTTCGGGACTTGCTTCGGGTCTCGGGGTTGATACCAGGGCTTCGGGGGGTTAAAATAGGGCTTAGAGGTTGTATCGGGAGTGGGAGAGAAGGGATGGAGCAACCATAGTCGGCTGGCCCTTCAAATCTATTTATAGGGCCTATTTGGCCCTTGCCACGTCGTGGGATCCTTTTGCCACGTCGTGGGCTTGATCGTCACTGCATGCGTCATCCCAAGTTGCATCTGGGGGCCTCCCGGAGGTGTCAGGACTCTTGCCACGTCGTGGCACTGCTTGCCACGTCGTGGTCCCTGACAGTTTTGGGGTTTCACGCCCCGAACTTCATAAATTCATAACTTTCGCATACGAACTCCGTTTTCGACGTTCTTTATATCGCCGCGAAGGTGAGATTATGCTCTACAACTCTCGTTTAGACTCCATTGGCTAGTTTTGACTTTATTTTTAATATATTATAAGTATATTACTTATATATTATTTTTAGTAGGCCGGGACAGGAAAACTCTGTTCGAAATTCTTAACTCCTTCATCTGAACTCCGATTCCGTCCGTCTTTCCGTCGTTGCACTACTATCGATGAGATCTTCAATTATCATTTAGATCACTAAGGATAGATATCTATCTACCTTAAGTTCACTATTTATGTCGCGATGGGTCGCGCTGGGTCGTGCCGGTTCTGTCGCGAAACTTCGACAGGTCATAACTTCTTCGTTATAACTCGGATTTTGGCGTTCTTTATATGCACAGAAACCTTGTGACATATACTAAAACTTGGTTAAGATTAATCCTTATAAATAATCTTCCATCAAAAAGTCATTTTTTGATGCTTATCGTCTCTAAATTGACTAGCCCGGATCTACGGGCGTTACAGCCTTGGGGGTGTAGGTGAAGCTTTTATTAATGTTTAGTGTTAAATGTACTTATGTATCAAGTATCAATATTTAATAAATATTATCTATGTTTGTATTAATGTTTAGTTTAAACATGTTTCTATGGATGCATTTAATTTTCATTTGAATGTTTAAGATTTAAGTAGTTAAGTGTATAAAATTTGGATATGTTTGCATCAACCATCAAAAATTTATTCATGTTTAATTGTCAACTTTATTTGTGGAATCTGACCCACGAACCCGTATAAATAAATGGGTAGATGGGTCATATATGAGTTTATGTTCCAAACCAGCCAACATGTAGCCCGCCAACCTGTGCCATGTATATTTAAATGGGTCGTGTTTGGGTCGACTTATTTTGACCCGTCAACCCGCGACACGCCAACCCGAACACGACATGATTGTCAGACCTAGTTTTTATATATCAAACATGAATTTTACATGACACAGATACAAACAGAGAAATAAGTTTTATCTTACTTTTTAAGATGTATCACTATTTTGTATTCGTGTCGTGTTTTGTTATACACGAATTTGTTTGTTCATGTCTTGAATTGTTAGGTCGTATGTTTGATATAAATGTTTTAGTATTTCATTTTTGAAAAGACAATTATACATGTTTACAAACATATTTTTTATGTTTTGATGATATTTTTACGATTATCCCAATAAAACATATTATTTTTGTTTGAAGTTATTGTATTCTTAATTCTTATTTACTTAATAATGTGACATAACCAAACGCCTCCTAAACAAAATGAAATTCGCGACACGGGTACGTGGGGTAACAGGTTTCCACATAATCATGGCCGAAGAATCCCTATCCCCCTTCCCGAATCACGAAATTTGTTGTTGCAGTCGTCAAAAATGAGTTGCAGAACCACTCTCAATGCCTTCACCACAAATTCAACTTCCACTTCCATTGCTGCCGTTTCTCGTTCCTCCGTTCTTTTGTCCAACATCACTCTCAATTCCTTCCCCACAGTAGGAAAAAGAAGAGTTAGAGGAGGAGGAGCAGCCTCAATTACAACCTCTCATCTGCTTTATTATTATTCCCTCCGGCGTCTAGATTCCAAAACCCAACTACTCAGACGCCCCAATAAGAAATTACGACGCAATATCGTAGCCTACGCGACCTTCTTGGAGCTTCCGCTTCTCCCTTTTCCTTCTGATCAGGTATCTCGTTTCTTATGCTACTTCGCTATGATTGTTCATATCGTAAACCCCACACTCAAGGTCTCAAATTCATTTCAAGTTTGAAGCTTATACTTAATTTGAAATGCGGACATTTTTCTTATGTATTTCAGGTGCTAGTTCCATCTGAGGCAAAGACGCTTCACCTATTTGAAGCAAGATACCTGAAGTTGTTGGATGAGGTATTGAATTCGCTTCTTTAATAGTTCTATCCTGCAAAAGCGTTATCCCTCTTTAGTTCTTTACTTCAAATTGTTGATGTGATATGCTTTTACTCTTTGATTTCAGTGTTTGTTCAAAAAGAAGAAACTTTTTGTGCATTTCGTGTTGGATCCCATTGTGGTGAGTTCCTCATCCAAAGAAGCATCCTTCGCTGCTAGATACGGTTGTTTGGTTTCTATAGAGAAGGTAAGCTTCCATTAATCATCACATTTCCTTTAATTCCTTTTCATTTTTTACTATTTTTATTTTTTTTCAGTCAAACTCATTGTCCTCTCAGTGTTATGACTTGTGACAGGTTGAACAACTAGATGTCGGGGCCTTGGTCTCCATTAGAGGAATTGGTCGTGTCACACTTGTGAAATTTGCAAAGGTATGTTGAAATAATGTGTCGATTCTTCATAAGAATATTTTTAGTTGTTTAAAAATTACTTCACTCAAAGGGGTAACTTTTAGTGATTCTGCAGGCGGATCCTTATTTAGAAGGCATTGTATTACCATTACAAGACAATGTTCCACAGAATGAAAGTCAAATAAGTTCTAAAGTTCTAGAACTGAAAGAAGCTCTTCACAGTTTGAATAGTTTGGAAATAAAGTTAAAGGTTCTGTATTAAGTCACAAGTCAAAAACAAGTGTCATACATTGAAATTATTTACAAAATGGTTAACTTTTCTGCTTATGCTAATGATTAGGCTGCAAAAGATGAACCATTGCAAACACAAACAGCAAACTCCTTAGAATGGGCTCTTAAAGAACCTTCTATAGATTGTGAAGAAGCTTTCATTCCATCTTTTGCTGAACGTGTGTCCTTTGCTGCACTTCAAAATGTTTCAGGTATAAAGTCAATTCATGATTTGGATTAATTGAAAGATGCTATAACTGGGTGTATCTTTCAAAGCACAGTGACTGAATATGAAAGTTGTTATGAATTATGACAGGATCTACACAATCAGAAATGTTGAAGTTGCAAGAAGAAAAGCTGAAAGCAATGGATGTTAAAGAAACACTACAAAGACTTGAAAATTGTACGGGTTTTATCAAGAACAGAGTCTCCATGACTGCAGCCAAGCTTGCTATACAGTCCTTGAACATGCAATGAGCATAAAACTAGAGGGACCAAACTTGTGCATTTTCTAATTTGTTATACAGAATCTGTAAATTGCTCATCATGATGCTACTAATAAAATTGCTTGTTTACATTTTCATCTTGACGTTGTAGAAATAGTAGAGTTATGCGTCTCATTAAATATGCAATAAAAATTTGAGAAAACCATTTAAAACCCATCACATTTTTTCATTTTGTTTTTGCAAACAAGTCGCTAAACTCTTTCTTGAAACCAAAAGGACTAAAACTTATTTGAAAAGTTACAAACACGTCTAGTGTTTGTTTGCACACGTGGTATAAAATTATTTACAAATAATGATTATTTGCGATTTTCCACTATGATTATTTGTTATTTTGTTATATAAAAATAAGATATGTTCATGAGACCTGAGGCCTAGAATTTTCTGAACAGATATTTGTTTTGTATTATTCCGATTTTCTCTCCAAACATCTTCCATCATCTTCCACATTACAGAATCCACATTAAGACCAGAGCAAGAAATGGGGTTAACCTCCGCCATTATCATGGCTTCATCAGCAACAACCTACAGGTATCTTCTCAGTGCTCCGAATCCAAGCTTCTCGCCGCGTCTTTCTTTCTCTGTAAGTCTCCAATTTCTCATTCTTAATCTTCTTATTTGCTCCTGTAAAAGTGGACGGTGGTTTTGGATTGGGAAGAGCATAATTATAAAAATCGCAGATATTTCAATGTTAATTTGAAAGTTGACCGTAAAGCTTCAGTTATTGTCCAGAAAATCTGCAATCCAAGCTTAAATCGTTGCCGGAGATCCTTGTCTAGGAAAAAATCATATCGCCGGGTGTGTTGCAGTCAGGTGCAGATCGAAGAAGGCACCGATGAGGAGGCATGTGAGCTGGTGAATGGAGCTGAGGTTTCCATAGGTGAAGGATCCGATACTGTTCCTGCTTATCTTCTCTCCGCTGTGAAGAACAACAATGGAACTGGTATTTTGCTATTGTCTGACGTCTTTGGGTTTGAAGATTCATGTACCAGAGATTTCGCCTATAGAATCGCCTGCAATGGTTACAAGTATGTTTACTAATTCTACCTTGGAATTAATATTCCAAATCCATTGTTGTACTTGTAAGGAAAGCTTTGATGCTTATAAGTTATAACGCAGCGTTCTATTACCCGACCTATTCAACGGAGATCCATGGGGAAAAGAACGCCCAAAATCCTTATATGAAGAATGGCGAGCAACTCATAACCAAATCGCTACAAAAAACATCACAACTTCGATCAAATGGATGGTAGAAGAATTCGTAGCTGCAGGAATCTCAAAGAAGCTTGGGATCGTTGGGTTTTGTTTTGGTGGCGGAAAGGTAATTGAGGTTCTGGCTGAAGATGACGAGGGTTGTTTTGGCCTTGGAGTCTCGTTCTATGGCACAAGAATCGACCCTTCTGTTGCTGCTAAAGTGAAGGTGCCGGTTTTGTATATAACAGGGGATGAGGATCCACTGTGTCCGGTGAAGGTGGTGGAAGAGATCGAGAGGGAGAACGTGGGGGGATCAAAGGTCGTGGTTTTCAAAGGGAGAGGCCATGGATTTGTTCATCGACCAGCGTCTGTTGAAGATGATACAGATGCAGAAGAAGCTTTTACTATGATGAGAAATTGGTTGCATAATGGGTTGGTTGTAGAGAAAAAATAAGTGTTGAATTGATTACATATATCTTTGTACGTATATAGGTTTTTCTTCCCAATCTCTTTCTTCGTTTTTGACAATTTCTTGAATGAATGGAAGTGTTGTGGTTGATAGAGTTGTTGTCAATTGATATTTGCATATAATCTACGGATTTTAGATATTTGTCCCATATACATGTAGTGGATGTATCCCTTTGACAGATACATTTAAAAAATTGAACCATTAGCATTTAGTGTTTAGCCACCCCGGGCTCAGTATGCCTAAATTGTCTTTTTTACTCTTTTAAGCATTGTTATTGTCTTTTTTACTCTTTTGAGCATTGTTGTTTGGTGCTTTGACCTCCAATGGTTGCAACAAATTAACAAATGTCTTAATTGGATAACATGAGTCTTAATATCATACTTTGATATAAAATCCCCATCATCTTAATGTGTCTTAAAACCTAAGAACTTACTACAAATTGAGTTCAAAAATGCACTCAAAAGACAATAGCCTCCATTTTATGACTCAAGCTTTTAATGACATGATGAATGCTTCCAATTCACTTTCTTACAACCAAATGATCATAAGCACCCAATGTTACTCAAATACTTAACCTCATTCCACACCAATCATTCTTTATGATTCTATTCCCTGGTTATATGATTCCTTTCTCAACTATGATGAAATTCGAATTCCTCTTCCATAGCTAGGGTTTTATGACTCAATCAAATCCATCAACCCAAAAAACCAATAGAGTGGAAATTGGAGCTTAGATTCATGGATTAATATTTAGATTGAGCTAGGAATTCGATTTCGATCACTAATTTCACATGAACTTCAGATTTGGATAGAGCTTTAAACCCTAGTTCGATGCATCATGAGATGTCCTTACCAATCCCAAGAACTACCAATTTATCGGTTATTCCTTTATTCTTATCATGTTTTTCATTTGCACTTATAATCCAAACTTTTGTTTAGGTCTCGAGGTACTGCACTGTGGGACCAACATTAAGGGTGTTGCCTCTCGGCACCGGCCATTCGACTCATACTTGGAACAAAAATCACCTATACACAATGCAATTTGTAGCACCTGACTTTTATTATATTGGGCCTCCCTTGCATCAAATGGGTTTGAAATTTCTCATTTAACGCTCCTTTGCATCAATAAATAAACAATCCCCACCATTAAATTATTTGTTAAAAACTCTTTATGCTTTCTTTACTCTTTGAAATAAACAACCGTTCTCATTTTGCTCTCTCTGTTATGAGTGTCGTCACGCCGGGGAATATTGAAATGGTCATTTTAAGTATAAACAAAATTAAAATAAAATATTTGACTATGTTTTTTTTTTCTGAAAACATGAATTATAAAACATAAATCAATGTAGAACATATTCGGCAAACAAGTTTACTTTTGACATTCATGCACAAGGCCATCAAGACAATAAGCAACAAGAATTCTTTGCATGAATTAGGGAAAAGGAACATTGGTTATTTCTCCTTATTTTTAATAATTGAGATTGCTGATATAAACTTTTACTTATCATATAAACTATACTATCAATGAGTGAATTTTGTCAAAAGCTAAGCAAAAAGGAAGACCAAAACATTAAGAAGAAGGTAAAATGGAGCGCCCAAAACCAAAAGAAAATAGTTTTGATTGTACATCAAATGTATGTATGTATGTAAAATCAGTAAATGTAATGTAAAAAGTGGACATTGCCAGTTTGCCAAAATTATTACTCTTCTTCTAATTCATTCATACAAGATAAAATTCAAAATCCATTTCACTTGATCATTGGAAAACATCAACAATCTTCACAATTACACCTTCAACCCCTCATCATCTGGTTATTTTTTTTTTTCAGTCCTGAAAATTTGTGTTAAGAAATTCAAAAAGATTTCATGCAAATGCTGATTGCTGTATCCATCCATGCAATACTTTCAGTTTCAGATGATTAGAAATTAAAGAAATAAAGTGACAAAACAAAGCTACCTTAGCAACAGTGGGAGAAGTGGAAGTTGAGGCATCAAATTTGTGAGAGCAATCAGAGTATGCAGATCCAATTCCCACTCCAGCACCAAGAGCAATTGATGCCCACCTTGTAACAGGGGAACCTACCAATATAATTTAACAAAACATTTCATCGATTAAATGATATTTCATCTTCTCAATAGCTAGTTAATAATAAATATGTCAAAAAGAACTTAGTTAAACATATAGGGAAACTCTCATGAAAGACTTTCTCCTTTCTATAGCATTTTGTAAACATTGTAACAGGACTTCTCATTAAGCATGAATATTATAACTTCAACTTCCATAAGAAATGCCCATTTTAGATAATAATTTCAAAGAAAACATCTCAGTAATCTTGATACGCCAATGTTAAATATATAACCTAAACGATAAATTGGAATCTAGCATTATCAACTCAGAAGGTTGGATTTGCTGATTTAGCTTAAATTTTATTCAACTGGTTAAGGAGATATCAAACGGAGACGCATGTATGGCAAGTTCGATTTTGAATCTCCTCCTCAAACAATAACTACCTATAATATCCGTAACAAACAGAAAGGTGATTACAGTGCCCTAGCGACATATAGTTTATTATATTCTATCAAAGCATATCGATCGTCATTTGCAATCAGCGATAACGAAAATTATGAATCAAGGGATTGACAATGAAATAGGAACTCACGGAACAACAGAAGACCGGCGAAAGCACCGATACCGGCGGAGTATACGAAACGACGAACACCCAAATCTAGACAGGCATCCCACTTCGCATTCAGATCGTATTGAGACGGAATCTCTTTATTTTCAGCCATTATATAAATTTTAGAGCGTTTTCCCCTTCTTTGATCTTCAATTTTCTACAAATCGAAGGAAATGTAACCTGATTTGCTTGAGGTCTCCACGACCGCCGAGGGTTTTTCGCGAGGAAGATATGAGCCGATGACAATATACCGGTTTTCACATATTCTTCAAACGATGGCATAATTGTAAATTACATGGCCAATCAAATTGCCCGGTCCATTGGGCTGTGAAAAGCCTTACTCGGCTTTTACAACAATCCAACTAATTTCGGACCCAAATCCCTTAAACTATTTGGGATTTTGGTAGGGGTAACAATTTATAACACGACACGATAAAAATATACGATACGAAACGAAATTGTGACGAAACTGAAATTTGAATTCGTGTTCGTGTTAACTGTAAAAAACACGATGTCGTGTTCGTGTTCAAAAGTCAACACGAAATTGGCATGATTTAGTAGTTCTTTATCGTGTTTTTCGTGTTATATTTAATAAAATATTCATTAAATAAACTAGTTTTTAGTATATGATATATTTTTCGTTTCGTGTCGTGTTTGCCGTTTTTTATTTTGTTCGTTTACGTGTTAGTTTTAAAAAACACGACATTGTGTCATGTCGTGTTCGTAGTACATAAAACATTATCGTGTCGTGTCGTATTAGACAGAAACACGAAACGATAGTACGATTTGCCAACCCTATATTTTGGGGTTCTTACTTCTTAGTAAGTGGGCTTCTAAAATAATCAATGTCTCGTGAATATCTTGATGGTTCACCACTTCATCTCTTAGAGGTGTACATTACGATCCTATGATAGGTTTATTAAACCGTAGGGTGTAATGTTATTTGTACCATTCTTTTTTCTATGTCAGATAGATGTTGCCTCAATATCATATCATTCTTGTCAAATAGATGCCACCTCAATATCATATCATTCATATCATAAAAGTGTGGGTTTTTTTGCCAGAGAGTAGGTGTGTCAAATAGATGAAATCGAATTTATTTTTTAATGCAATTTTATTTCAAAGAAGAAATCGATTATAACTTAAATCGATTTAATAAAAATAAAATTTAAAAAAAAAAAAAAAAACTAATATATATGTGCACCTCGATTTCATCTAGACACCTAGCGAGTAATTTGTAGTTTTTAAAGCTATTTACAAATAGTTTATTTTTATGCTAATAATATTGAACTTATGCTATCATTTATATTTCATTCATGTAAACGATTAGTGGCGAGTAAAACTACCAAAATATCATAATTTGAATAGATCGATATTGAATTAGCATTGTTTATATGAATATCACACGGTACTCGGTATTCTAAAATCATGAAATTTAGGATTTGATATTATCGGTACCGATGGTAATATCGAAAGTCGGTATCATACCCAGTACCATTACTGCTACCACTATCACTACTGGTAACATTAACTCGATTCAATGGCAAATATACATATTGGAAAATAATGAAATTTAGGATTCGATATCATCGATACCGATGCTAGTATCGAAAGCCCGTATCATACCACTACCACTAACATTAATATATAAGATTTAGTTGTTAAACATGTAAAATTTTATAAGTAACCTACCTTAAATTGTTTGACAAAAAAGTTAATATAATTCATAACTTTTAAAGCTCATATTTTATATCTTAATAGCCCAAATACTTAAATATACATTAAACATGTAAAATTTTATAAGTAACCTACCTTAAATTGTTTGACAAAGAAGTTAATATAATTCATAACTTTTAAAGCTCATATTTTATATTTTAGGGGGTGTTTGGTTTAGCTTTTCAAACCCCAAAAGTTCTTTTTGGAAAAGTTACAAAAAGTCAGGATTTCCTGACTTTTCCAAAAAGTTCATTTTCCTTATGTAAAAACTTCAAAAAGTAGCTTCTAAAAATAATTTGCCAAACATCTTTTGCTTTTTTTTTCTTTTCCAAAAAGGACTTTTGGCTTTAAAAAGCTAAGCCAAACACCCTCTTAATAGCCCAAATACTTAAATATACATTAAGAAAATAACCTAATATAATTTTCGAGTTATAATTTATGTCATATATTAAAAAAATAGTTTTATCTAGTGTTAGTAATGATTCAATTATCAAAAATATTTAAAGATATTAGAACTCGTTGGATACAGTTGCTAGATATTTTTAATTGTTTTTTCCTTATATGGCCTAACCCGTTACTTGTACTTTTTTTACTATTATATATATATATATATATATATATATATATATATATATATATATATATATATATATATATATATATATATATATATATATATATATAGGTTTATTTAAATAATGAACCACACATGTTTGTGTTCTAGACTCGCCAGGGACTCGATTCAATTCTCATATTGATATCAGATATGAGTGCGATACCATACTCATCCTTAAAAACAATTACATCAATACTAACACCAAAAAGGTATCAACAACTTACTACATATCCAAAGTGAGGCATTAATTAAGTTGTAATCATGTATTCATATTTTAATATCCCAC